GGATCTTTTCTGAACATGTCTTTTGATGCACAATTTTAATGTTCTAGATAATTTCAGTAATAGTATATTTCTTTTTAAAATACAAATGAAAATTATTCTTTATAGTGAGAATAATGATGTTAAATATTGATTATATGCAGCTAGTCAATCATGTTATTTTCTTATCTTGTTAGACTGTCTGGACATAGGCGGAGCTTTGTCTATATTTAATTACTACATCACAGATATTGGTCAAATCTGTGACGTCAAACTCCCGCCAAAAGCCAAGTTAGTGTTGCACAGTGCCACACATAATGCAAAATTTACAGCATTAGAGCATCAAAGAGACAAAGTGTGTGGTTCTATTGATAAAGTAATGGTGTCAGACCACTCCTGGGGTGTTCCCAGTAGAATTTTTGTATCTATGTTGCATTTATAGGGGTTCTAAGGGGGAAATTCCGTTTTTAGGTCATTTCTCAGAACAATTTTTCATGAGATTTGTTAGGAAAAAATGAAAATATAAACTTGACTTTGATATACGTGATTAAAGGGAGTATTTTCTACAATACAGTGTCCCAGTTTTTGGATAATGTGTTTCTAAATAAATTTATAGGTCTCCAAAGATGAAAGGTGAAATGAGGTTTGGCACCCAGCAGTTAAATCAATATATCTTCTTACTGGAGGCATATATCAAAAATCTGAGACACGGTTTTGCAGCTTGTATATGGTTGATTAAAGGGATGAAAACAAATTTTTACTACCATTTGACCTGAATGTGCCATTTCCATCCAAGTTGGAAGACCACTTTTTTGGAAATTAATTAACTATATTTTGAGATTTATCATACCAAAATAAATTTATCAATGGATTAAGAAAGGGTAATATTTCAGCTTTAAAATGAGTTGAAGATTTTAAAAATCCATTGAGTAGTTTTGGAGAAATTAATCTTTAAAAAACTGTTGGTTGGAGTCAGAAAATTTTGACTGTAGTGCTACCTTAATAGGTACCAAATTCACCATTACCCGAAACAATAGTGTAACATATGACATTAAAATTTAACGTTGAAGGGCTAAACTTGCATTGAGCCTTGTTTAGGCCCTAAAATAGAAAATAAAGAGATGTGGAGTAAATGTGCATGGGACAACATCGCACACATTACATGGAAAAAAATGAAAATTATCAATGAACAGGGCTTTTATTCCTGTTCTTCATCTTGAAAGTAGCCGGGGGGTCTTCAACGAGGCAACGAACCCTTCATACCCTAAAAACAACAGCCACACACCTGACTATGTGGATTACAATGTTTTGCTGTATCCTACATATGACTTTTGATGTTGTCCCTAAATACTAAAAGTCTTACACTGAATCTATATATTTTGATATATTGTCGAAAAAATAAATAAAACAAAATTTGCGTTTTAGATTAAGAAAGGGTCCGAAAGAAACGTTCAGAATGCACGATTTTGCGTCATTTTTTCCAGATCTTTGGGGACCTAGACCCCTCGCCCAAAATATATTTTGCTTCACTTGTGATAGAGGCTAGTTATACGGCCCTGTCTTATCACCTTAGATCAACCTTTCTAAACTTAAAAGTAAAGATCACGCACCCTTATTGTTCAGATTGATAAAGACTTTTGCATCCGTCGACATTAACTTCGATTTGAATACTATAGATCTGATAACCGCTGTGCATGTATACTTTAAGGAATGGGCTAGTTTTCTTATCAGTTTTAAAAGTAGTAAAACCTCCCTTGTTAATGTGATGTTGTAATCAATCTATCTATTTGTACCATACTTATATAATATTATATTGCACAATTTAAATTTATGATTCCTTTAATATTTAAATATAATATTTCATTTTTAGTAAAGATATAAACAAGGTAATTTGAAAGGCTTTGATTCATTTATCACCGTAGTTCAATTCATAAGTCAGGCGGTCTATTTTGTCTACATTATGTTGAAAGAACACCGGGGTGTTTACATTGGCATTATTTACTATCAATGACTGTGAAACAAGAAAGGAAAACATTGTACATTATAAAACGAGAATAATTAAAATTACATTCAAAATTCATCTTTAGTGAAATCAAAATCGAAAAACGGAAACACTTTTTATTTTCATTTTGGTTTTAGAGAAATCAAAAACAAAAAATGAAAACACTTTTTATTTTCATTTTGGTTTTAGAGAAATCAAAAACAAAAAATGAAAACACTTTCGTTTTCCGTTTTGGTTTTAGAGAAATCAAAAACGAAAAACGAAAACACTTTTGTTTTTCGTTTTGGTTTTTGAGAAATCAAAAACGAAAAATGAAAACACTCTCGTTTTTTGTTTTTTGTTTTTGATATTTCAAAATGAAAAACGAATGGACGCAAATATACACGGACCATTGTGTCCGCTTAATGTATTTACCAAACTTCAATTCGAAACGTATATGTCGCAAAATACTGCTGACACATGATTAGAAACGTGGCGGACGAACTTAAAATTTCTGAATGAAACACAGAAAAGAAATAAAAAAAAATTTTGGGAAGTGCGGAAAATTCATAAATCTACAAGGATGTCATCTATCTGCTTTTCTCAAAAAGGTTTAGGCTGTGCAGTCGAATAAAAAAAAAAACAAAAAAAAACCAGAATTTAAAAATCGTAATCGGCCAATGAAAACTTCTGCTTTATCTCTTTAAAGACAGTAATGAAATGTTGCAAATGTAACAAAATACAGATATGAAACGAAATTTATAACTATACGTTTCTAGTGTAATTTAGGAAGACAAGACAGCTGATTCCAATCTATAGTGTGTGATAACATTTTGTGAGGGAATTCGATGTTTGCTATACAACGGTTCATTTCAACGCACTTTAAGACAACACAACGAACCCAATCAGAATGATTTTTTTTTAAGTGTTTTAAGAAATGATTTTACTCTGTATCCATGTATTGTTTGTGAAACAATAAATGTTTTAAAAGGGCGAATTTTCTGTATAAAGTCAATAATTATGTAGACTTTTGAATCCCAAACTTTCTATTGCCTTAAATACGCAAATGAAAGATCCAAAAACTATACCAATACAGAACGACATGTTTTTGAAATTATAGCAAAACTGTTGGTTGACAAATTTTTATTCGGTATTGCAAAAAAATGAACTTAAAACATCTGTCATTTTCTCTCTACCCAATTTACCCCTATTACTTATTATGATGTGGACCGGTCATTGTTATTGAATCTTACGCAATTTGATTGGATTAAGTTATTTATTAGATACAAAACAAAGGTAACAACAACAAAAAACAGGCTGGTAACTTCCGTTTCAGTATAGTTTCTGCACGAGTTGTCAGGTAAAGTCCGAGGCGATAGCCGATGACCTTGACCTGACTACAAGTGCAGAGAAAACTATACAGCTGGTTGTTACCATCCCGTGTCTTTTGTTATTTTTGTTTTGTATCTGACTTGGGGTGGGGGGGGGGGGGGGCAAAACATCACTTATGGAAGTGTGTGGAGCGGGTTTTGTCCCGTTTCCAGGGTCCTACGCGCTGGGATTTATATATACCCCTACACACCAAGAAAAAACATACGTACGTACAAACAAACAAAGAAATATGTTTTTGCCCCCTCCCTTAATTTCGAAAGTGCTGAATGGCAATTTCTCCCCTTCCCCGGCTCAAACCCCCCCCCCCCCCCCCCCAAAAAAAAACAACAACATAAAAACAAAAAACAAACAAAATAAACAACAAAAATAACATGTATTGAAAAATAACGGATTTAAATTTTTGGATCTACATATTTTGTAAATCAAATTTATTTTATCAGTTTATTTTCATGCTCATTACAGTAATGTAATATTCGAGTAGACCCAAGTATTGATCATGTGACAACATTTTTTTTCATTTCCATCCCAATGTTCAAAATGAGTGGTAGTTTATTTGACGTTGAGACTGATTTTGCGCTATCACAATTCGACTTAAACAAATTCCTTCAACATGAAGAGAAAACGGGAAATTCTCCGAATTGTTCGATTTAGACGACTGATCGAAAGATTTCAGCTTAACTACTAAGCAAACTGACGAGATGTTTGTACATGGAAACATTTTATGGTTACAGTTACTCTTGCAGTCTGCTATTTCGTAGACACTTTATCTAATTTCAGCATTTTGGGACATAGTTAGAGCTTTTTTATAAATATAATTTTTATGAACACTAGTACTTTTCATATAAATTATATTTAATATGAAAACGAGTAATATGGTCACAAGGTGTACGACAAAGTGCCTATAAACTCACTGAATGCACGAGTGACTCTATTCATAAAAAGTGTCCATGCAACTTCAAAAAAGTGTCCATGTAACACCCGTTATTGTACGGTTTTACTATAGCTCTGCTGGGGGCAAAGTCGTACAATATTAGTTTACCTTCAAACTGTTTATTTTTTTCATACACTATATTGATTAAATCAGAACATGCATGAATGTGTACAGTAACTTAAATGATCTTAAAACTGGACGAGTCCATATTATTTTTTATCAATGAAACTAAAGGTATGAAAGGTAAGAATTGCCACTTCTTATATTTTCACAAAATTTTCCACATATAGAGTAGATAAATTATTCTTAATAGCCTATTCCGGAGAAGAAGAAAAAAGTTTACAAATCAGACGTGTTATTCCATTAAACAAGTCATTTTTCGATGAGAAATGCCGAAATACATTTTACGCACGGCTACGCCAGGTAAAATTATTATTTATCTTAACCAAAAACAAAAAACAAACAAACAAATCAGTCTCATTATAATATTATAATTACAATTAATCCCAAACAAAAGAAGTCAGTAAATAAAGTTAAAATATGTCCGATCTGCCTATTTTAGGACATCATTTTCAATACGATCGTTTTAAGGTCAATTTCGTCTACATCACAAAATCTTGTTAGGCACTACAATAATAAAATTGACACAATAATACCCATTTTATATTATCATGATCATTATGGTACATTTGTATTAGATGGATTAACAATATAACTCACCGATGGCTTTGACTAAAAACAAAATTTCAGAAACAATATATATCCGTATTTTAGCCATCTTGACAACCGGTAGATTGCTGAGTGTCCAACAGGAAGATTTAAGTAGCCATACATATATGTGTACAGGAAATGAACTCTTGACTATGAAAAAAAAAATTGTCATCAGTTTTAAAAGATAAAGTTTATTTAATGTATAAATGTAAGTGTATGTTTACATTACAATTCCAACAAATTCCAACTTTTGAAATTTTCAAAGAACAACGTATACTATTGAAATTAAGACATTGTAAGGGATAAATTAATTTTTTTTTAATAAACATAAAAGATCACAGAAATGCAATATATTTGTTTCATAATAAATTATTATCAATTCAAGATGACCTTAAAACACTCTTTTTTTTATCAAATATCTTATACGAATATAGAAAATCCGAGACACTGCCTTTGAATACGAATACTTTATAAAACCAATTATTTGCCAATAAAGATCACAATGATCACATATATACACAACTGTCCTGGTATGGACTGTTTTTTTGCTCATTGTGGAAGGCCGTACAGTGATATAATAATTGCTACCTTTTACATCATTATGTCTCTAAAGAGCACTAATCTTATTTGTGTGATTTGTGGTCTAGTTTCAAAATTCTTCACAAAATTTAAGATAGGTCACCCTTTTGAAAATATCCTTAAATAAGAAATAAAGGAGTGGTCATTATCTTTCATTTGGGGAGATGAGAGGAAACATCTGAATTTCGCTAATTTTTTTTAGGGACCCACCTTAAAGAAGAAGAAAAAAATCAAGACCCCCCTTTCCAAAGACATGACAATTTCACTCCCCCACCCCACCCCACCCCCCAAAAAAAAACAAAAAAAAAAACAAAATAAACTTTACAATACTTTTATTTTTTTCAACAAGAAATATATGCATACCATTTCTATTTATATTATTATTTTTCAATATATAGTGCATCATGATCAGTATTTGATAAAAAGCTTTAAATGGGGTAGTTGTTTGTAACTACAAAAAACCTTATTTAAATAGATAAAAATAAGGAGATATGGTATGATTGCCAATGAGACAACTATCCACCAAAGTTAAAATGAAGTGGATGTAAGCAATTATAGGCAACCGTACGGCCTTCAACAATAAGAAAAACCCATATCGTATAGTCGGCTAAATAAAAAGCCCCGACATGAAAAATAGGAAACAATTCAATTGAGAAAACTAACGGCCTAATTTATAATAAAACAATTTACGAAAAACAAATATGACAGACATGAACCAACGATAATGCATATACCTGCTATGGTTTCATTGACATTTACCACACCTTCATTCAATTTCATCACATTGATCCTATCCTTAATTAAAGAAGTTACTAAATTGACTTCAGATAAAAATACTGTCCCAGAAGAACATGTTGAAACTTAGGATTTTTTTCTGAACAATTGAGCCGCGCGGAGCGAGCGAAAAAAAATGCCTTTCCTGCCAATAAATTATATTTTCTTTATTGTAAGGGGAAGAATTGGGTTTGGGTCGCCTGACTCCATATATCCAGGTTATAAAGGAAAATTATTAAAGTTAAGACATATTAAAAATGCCACACTTGACTGCTAGATATCATCTTGCACCATTGAAATATATGCCCAATCATGAGTTTTGCGATAATCATGTAAGGAAACAACTAAAATGTTGTCAGTGTTATTATTATATGGAAAGGGGCATAATATAAAGAAAACCCTCCGAAAACCTGTAAAAACTGAAAGACATCAAACCATTATTCCCTAATATTGTCATTCTTCATGTACAACACACAAACAGAAGATGGGCATGACTCACTTGGATAAAACCTTAAACATTGAAAAGAAGTTTGAAGTAAAAAATTATGACACAATAGTTATAGATATGACATCTGAATCGAGTGTTAGACACTTCTGTTGAATAATTAGATACTGATTTCGAGAATTCATCATATTAGCAAATTAGTTTATGCATGTCTAAAATACCAAAATGCTAAAATCTTCTAAATTTTATTGATGCCCCCTCCCCCATCTGTATTATTGAAAAATTAAATACCCTCGTTACCATTTCCAGACCACCTTGATTTCCTCCCACCCCTCCTTCAGGTTGCAAATCACCAGTTCCTTAGTTCGTTCTTTACCCGTTTCACTGTAGCATTCTGTAAAATATTATCTTTCCAAAATTGCATTAATTAAATCATCTTAAATCTCATCAACATTGAAATTATTAATAACTATATTTAACTATTCAATACAAGCGCGGTTATGAAGGACATATCTATTTCACGAATGCAGCAGCAGTGTACTACAACATCAGCTATTCAAATGACCACCGTTATACTGTCAATTAAATACGATTAAGTAATTGTTTCATCCTCTAGCGATACCGCTGCCAGTGGTCTACTATACCTCCGAAGGCATCATCAGCTCAATAGACAGTGCTTCGGTACTGGCATAATTAAGGTCTTTCCTTTTCCAAAAGGGAAAGACCTTACTGCATTTCTTCTGATTATTATTATTAAGGTCTTTCCTTTTCCAAAAGGGAAAGACCTTACTGTATTTCTTCTGATTATTATTCTTTTTGTTCCGCCAAACTTTGACAAAATTTCCCTCCGTAACCGTAAGCCATGTCGATTTCAGGTTCACACTTTGTATCGGTGTCACAAATACCTATCCGGAACTCACCCTGTGAGTCGTAAAATTTTGTCGGTCCGGAGTTATCTGCCCGAAACCTAAAAACCTTGTTATCATTCAAACACCGTAACCGCAGGTAGAAAAAAACCGAAGGGTGAAATTTGTTCAGGACCAGATCCTGGTTCTTCGTTACATTTGGATCGAAAAGATTCAACGACTCATTGGTAGGGTTATGCTCTTATGAAAATTAACCGATGTCGGTAGGCCACTAAAACTCAAAAAACCGTAAGTCGTAGCCACATAGGATCTTCACCAATGATTATCAATTTATGTGACCTTGAAAATGCCTTAAGGTCAAATTTGTATGTTGACCTTTGACCTTACATCTTGTTATGGGATGATCTCAGAAACTATTATACTTACAGAAGTTTTGAATAGTGGAAAATGTTTGGGTCATTAAGGCGCAACTTTGTAATATTTGACCGAAGAGATTTGACCTTTCTGTAAGGGGCATAACCCCTGTTTTAGGTTTCTGAAAAGACAAAATCAGCTTTTACTATATAACCAAAGGTCCTAGATCCATGGGGTCTTCAGCAATGAAATTTGGGACCAATGATCTTTACAAAGGTCAAAGGTCAGATCATGTCCCAGATAGCGAATTATTTGTTTAAAGGATTTTTAGTGTGTTTAAAAGCTTTTTAAGGTTGACCTTGACCTTTGAACTTACAACTTTTTATTGGATATCTCAAAAACGGTTAATCTTACAGAAATCGTAAAGGCGCAACTTTTTTTACATTTTGACCGAAGAGATTTGACCTATCCGTAAGGGGCATAGCCCCTGTTAACTGTTTCTGAAAAGACAAAATTAGCCTTAACTCTTGAACCAAAGGGTCTAGACCCATGGGGTCTTTTATATTCACATCCTGGACCAATGACCTTGACAAAGGTTAAAAGGTCAAAAGTCAAGGTCATTTCGCAAATAGCGGATTATGTGTTTTTTGTCATATTTTAAGGGTTTTATGTGTGTTTGTGAGCTTTTCAATGCATTCTACGCCTATTGAAACATATATTTTACATTACGAAAAGGAAAGACCTCTCAATTGTTCAAGAACAATTGACATTTTAATTTACCGTATATTATATCTTGTTTAAATTCTTATGCTACTAGGGTTCCAACGTCCTCGGGCAGATTTGATTTAGCTCTAATCATTAATTTTAGGTCATATAGCTCCTCAATTATTCAAGTATATATACATCCTTAGTCTTCAAAATTTTTTGTTTGATCGTTTATGATGAAGATAACTTCAGATAACCTCTGAAGCACCAATTTTGTAAAGTCTTATTTTCATTCTTTTATTAATTCAATGAAGAATGGACCATTTTACCTGTTCTTCTGAATGCATATGTCTTAAGGTAGTAAAGGGTGATGTTTTCTGTATGCATCATTCGATTTCACCTTTAAATCAACCATCTTAGAATTATATGTTATGTTTTTTTCTCATTGTTGAAGGCCATACAGTTGCCTATAATTGCTTACATCCACTTCATTTGAACTGTGGTGGATAGTTGTTTCATAGGCAATCATACCAGATTTCCTTATTTTTAAAATTTTATCATTTTGGACAACAACACCCCTGTACTTGGACCCTGGATCAACCCTTTATTGTAGGCTATTATATTTTCATATTAATAGAATATAAATTATATTAAGACTTCATTTTGACTGCTCTATTTGTTTGAAGTTGTATGTGTATCCTACAAATAAGTGATCTGTGTCTCAAAAGTTAAATGACTTTAGGGGTGAAAAGTGGATTTTGAAGAGGAAAGGGGGGGGGGGGGGGGCACGAAAGTTTTTGTGCCAATTTGTGGATAAGCAGAAAATATATATTCTAGCCCTAATCGAAGTGGAAATAATTATTCTGACCGCATCAAATTTTCCAGGCACCCCTCCCTCAGAATCAAATGGTCGTCCCCTTGGGAAAAAATAAATAGAGAACTCCATAAAATTTTACGGAGCTAGATTTCCGGATTATATAAATCGAACGTTCCGGAAAATTCTCAGTTGTCCCACACAAAGCAAAGGTGTAAAGTTAAGAATTTTGCAACAAAAACATAAGTTCAGCGATACAGGCTTAATTTATATATATATGATTATGTGTTTCGTGTCAACCCTTAAAACAAATTAAGTTTTCAAATAAAACACTTCCGCCCGCCATGAGCCAGTAAATATTCTTTTTGTAATAAATGAAAAAAAATGTAAATAATAATAATAATTAACTATATACATGTCCTGGATCTAATAATTTAAAAAGACGTATACAATTAAGATTAAAATAATGTTGTATAGAAAGACAAATATACCATCCCACAAAATGCTTATGTTTGTGTTTTTGTCGATCTTTTTTCTATTGTTTTCCAAAATGACT